CCCCATCACCCCTCCCGTTGGGTTCTCCTGCAAAATAAGCCTTTCCAGAGTAATCGACTTTGTAATAGACATGACCTGTATTGTTGGCATGTTAGTAGACACTATGAGCAGATTTGATCTAGCAGTAGTGTACAGGTCGCAGATGAGGTAATGTGACCTACGTGCTAAATGAATTAATGGACTTTAGTATATATGATTATGGTTGTGTGTTTGAACGCTATGAGTATTTTCTTTCTCTGTGGGGGGAAAAAATGATGAGAGTTGTCCCTTTGAGTGGCGGCCCCTGCTACAGAAATGTGGGCATTTTTGCTGTGTGCCTAGTGGCCCCCATGGAAATGTTCCGGTCATCGTGTTGATTCCTCCTACGCTGCCACTGGACAACGACCCCCGCCTCTTGAGATGTGCAATGTTCCTGTCTTGCACCTCTCGTGTCATATTTGACTTCCGGCTGTGAACCATTATGAAAAGCAATTCTTTTCCGTTTTTATGCTTTGTTGAAAATGTTCATTCATATGAGAACAGAATGTCGAGCCTGTGGGAGGGTTCCCCCTTTCCAGGTATTTATTCAGTATTTCTGTATTAGTATCAAAACAAACCTCTTTTTGTATACATTTCTGTAGATTTGTGATAAAAAATTATGCTCCTAAAAATGTACTGTGGAGGCCGCTTAAATCAAATGCAGTTAATCTGAAAACAGCAGTAAACCGAAAGAAAATAGAATCCTCTGTTTTTTTTCTTCGCTATTTGAGCAATCTCTTTAAACAGAAAAAAATGCAACGATCTCACAGATTTGTGGTTTAAGTGTACTCCACTGTATAGTACGAAAAACTGAAGTAATATGATTCTCAAAGAAGACATTTTTTTTTCTTATCCTAGTCCTCATCACCTTGAGGACTGTTCTGTTGTTAAACAGTTTATCCCGTTCGCAAAGTTGGTTTGGTTTTTTTTACTTTGAGAGAGATGTAGGGGCTTACTAGCTTTTGTGGTTGCTGGCTGTTTACAAAAGCTGTAGAAAGATGCAGTTCTTTTACAGCCTACTACTGTCTAAATAGCAACCCCAATGGAATTGAGAACAGTGATGGAAACAGAAGGCCTGTGATTCTACTATAGTACGGATTATCGCTTTGCGCGCAAGAGTCATAAGTTTTGATTCTCAGTTGGAAAAACTTTAAAAACCAAAAACTCCATCTTCTTGCTAGCGTGCAGCCTACGGTCCATTTCAGCCTTGTTTGGCACAGACAGATAGGGTGTAAGCGTGAAAGTGTTCACTGCTAATTTCTACATACATAGAGTAGACAAGATGGCTATGGAGCATGCCTCTGTTGTTGTTGAATTTCTTGTGCTGCAGTTACTTTTAAGGGACTTTAGTGAGTGAGTGAGTGAGAAAAAGAAGATGGCGATGGCATGGTGTGAAGCTTTATTTAGAAAAATAAGCAGTTGTATTTTGTTATTAGTTATGCAGTTTTTGTCAGATTAGCTCGTAATGGAAAAATGTTTGCTTGCTTTTTTTTTATAACTTCAGTGAATAGCCTGCTTGGAAATTAAATAGCTTCAGAGATATGTTCTAATGAACATGTCCTGTGTTGAATTTTTGCCAGGGGAGAATCCTTCAGTTTTTTGCTAATAATTTTTCTTTATGGTCATGATGACCTATTTTGTACATTCCAGATCATATAATTTTGTAATATTTTTTTAATTGACGTTTAATCGTGTAACCATTTTTGTTTCAATAATGTTGCTTGTCAACTTCATAAAAATTGTGAAAAACTGTGTGAATGGATAGTTGCTCTGATCATGTACAAAATGTGCTGTTGGGACAAATACTTTCACATACAGGACTCTGTTATCTTGTGAATGATATCTTTTTGTGGTACAAGTCTAGATTTGTAGGCTACTCCTCCTCTGTAATTTTTCCTTTTGTCACTAAAGAACAAAAGCTCACATGTACCTAGTTTGGTGATTGTAGGTAGCAACATGATTGTTTCCTGTAATTAAAATCTTAGCAAAAAGTGACCCTTCGTCCGACCGTTGATTAGTGATATTTCAAAACCTCATCTTGACTGACTGCACTGTCACTCATCAGAAGAGGTAGAGGTCGCCTTTCTTTTCATTTCTACGAGTAACATGGTGCTCTTTCCCACTCTGTAGCCCGAGGAGACGATAATTACTGTGCTTGTTTTCCCAAAATTTCCCTTATGGATCAATAGTTTTCTTATCTCATCTTCTGTAATAAAACCAGGGGTGTTATTTAAAAGTGCATTAAGTCTCTTGTGTTGAGTGTCTGCGTTCAACCTTCACTGACCCCTGTGCTGGTCAACCTTTTTTCAACTTTGCGAGTTTTATGGAGCCGCTTGATAACCCCGCCAACTTTTTGGGCTACTTTGTCTTTGTTGAAGTTGACATCAGTGAAGTGTGTTGTGGATTGAAGGGCACCACTGTTAAAGTCTACTTCCCTACCATCCCTCTCTTGTTTTCCTCTGTCTGTCTTGCTTTTTCCAAGTACAAAAGGACAGTTCCTGTGTCCTTGTTCATTTCTTTTTGCCGTAGTTTATCTGTGAAGTGTGCACATTTAGCTTTTGTCCCATTTCTCTTTATTAATTTTTCTATCCTCATCAATAATTGTTGCTTTTTGTACTAGTACTAGTGCCAGCATTGAATTGGTTTTTCTAAAATTTAGGACTGGTGTTCAGTGTGTGTAATAATTTGATTACACTGCTACCTCTGACCTGAAAAACATGTGAGACGTGAGCGTCATTTTCATGTGGGGAAGTTTTTTTTGAGTGTCTCCATCTATCAACTAGAATGTATCTCATGTAGACTGGATAGGTCCAGATAGGCATGGTCAAAACAGCCTGCCTCCTAACTGCAAAAAATTGTGTTGACAGAGACTTAAAACATTCACTATGACTATGATCAATCTAGAGTAGGGGTGTGCAACATGCTTCATTGACGGGCTATTTTCAAACATTAGAACAACATGAACAACAGCCAGTCATCTTCAAAGTAATGTATTGTTCTTACCTACCCAAATTGATCCCATTATTTATGTTGTAATTAAATGGCACATGTCATCAGATCATGTTCCTATGTTATGGGGGTCCCACAGGGTTCAGTCCTCAGTCCAGTTTTGCTCACCTTTTTTATACTCGACCGCTTGTCAAGGAAATTTAATAAGTACGATCTACAGTATCATTTTTAAGCTGATGATACCAAAATGTATGGTTCAACAATGTTGATGAGCTTGTACATTGTGGTGAAAATTGTTTTGTCTCAGTAAAAAACTGGATGAACAAAAAACTAAATAATTTTGAATGATGATGATGATAAAATTAAAACAAGTCATTTTGGCAAGCAGTGTAAAAGTCTAGAAATGAGGTTGGTAATGATCACATAAAAATTGGCGATTTGTAAACTGCATTTGTAAGAAAAGTTTATAATGTTGGCATCTGTTTTGATTCCTCTTTGTCAGAGTCGGCTGAGGTGAATCATCTTATCAGCTGTGCATTTTCTATGAAATACGAAAAAGTTGTAGAATGCATCATTTAAACAGCTCGGTCCACAGACTTGTCTGGGCCCACAGATGGTCTGTTGCACATCCTTGATCTAGAGATTCAGGAATAAATGAAGTTCATGGCTGGTACACAAGTTATCTTTTTAAAAAATTGTTATTCATGTTCATCCTATTTGTACAAAACACCAGTTGTCCCTTCCCCATCTAGTTTACTCTGTTGTTGACGTGTCATTATGGGAAAGATACATTTTGCAACTGCTTGTTTGTAACTTTCTTTCTTTCGCTTTCGTCATGTATGTTGGGGTTTTTGCATGACAAATGTTTTGTAGCGTTTCAGAATGTGCTCAGTGGCTGAGTCCTGGAATGTATTTAACAATGATTAATCATGTGTTGGGATGGAGGGGAAGAAGTCCTGGAGTTGTTAGCAATTGATAAATATAGGTCACTAAAATAGAGTGTGTTGATGAATCGAGGGGGTTTTTGGTTTAAAAAATGTAGCAAAAATTATCTCAAGGACACGATATTATT